TTTCTGCTGCTGTCTTGGGGGGCTGAGGAGGAGGAGGAGGAAGAGGGCGGGGAGGGGGAGGGGACTGGGGCTGTGGAGACGGCGGCTCCTCTTCCTCTCTTATTGCCACTGAGTTGCGCTTCTCCTCAGGCTGCAGGGAGGAGCCGCCCGGCGCGAGAAGCAGCCCGGCGCTTCACACTTCCCTGCGATCCCAGTCCTCCGCCTGGATGCCAGTCAGAGCCGCTAACCCGCCAGGCAGCAACGTCCCATTTGCAGGTGCCCGGCCGTAGCCAGCCGTGGTGCCCTGCACTCTCCCCCTACACAGCAGGTCAGTCTTAGGCACGAACACGCAAACTTGTTTGTGTGGCTGAGTTGCAGGCGAGCTGCTCTGGAGAAGAGAGGGAGGCAGTTTGCAAAACTCCGGTCTCTCCCCGCTCATCGTCTCTCTCTCCTCTCTGCAGATCCCCCTCCTCCCGGACCCCTCCCGAGGAGAAATCTTCCGGGAGCTCCAGAAGCCTCCAGGATTTGTTGCTGTTGTTGTCAGTTGGCTTTCTAGACTCTTTGGAAATGGCAGGGGCAGCGACGCCTGGGAAAGGAGCGACTGTGGGAAAAGGGAGAGGAAACCAGAGCTAAATGACAGGATGCAGGCGACTTGAGACACATACACAAAAAGAAGCGTCTCTGCCACCCGGGACTCAGCTGCTGCTGCGGACCGAGCCTTCTGCTCCCCTCTCCTGCCGGAGGATTTAAGAGCTGAGAGGAGTTGTGTGCTGTGAGGAGTGAGGAGTTTTTTCCCCTCTCTCTCCTTCTACAATCAGAAAGGAAGATGGATTGGGGACTTCTTTTGCAATATGCAGCCCTCACCTTCACCCTAGCCAGGGCTTTAAGGAGCGGTAAGTGACAGTGAAGACAACCGATTTCAAGTTATTAACTAATTCAGAGAATATTTCCAGAGTTAGGGCCCAGTGGTGAGTTCTAATAAACAATGAGATCTGTTTTGCGCTGGAAGGAAGATCAACCTGATATTAGAATAAGAGGAACTTTTCAGTACAAATGATTTGCACCCTCCTGTCACATAATCATCACACGTCCTTTAAACTTTATTTTCAGCCCCTTTTGGTTGTTATCTAAAGCGGGACTGCTCGCTTTCACAAGTTTAGAGCAGCCAATTATCTTAATAATGTTTCCTCCCATAGGCAATTAAATAAGACTTAAAATCTGCAAGATAACAAGCACCTTAAAGGAAGGCTTTTGTGCCGGGGATGGGGGGAGTTCAGACTATCATCTTTTATAGTTGTAGATGCCTAGCAGGTAGTCTTGTCAAATAAGACCTAACCTATTTATTGCAATAGTCTGGAGTTCTCATGGAACTTGAATAGTGTCTATAGAAGAATGTGATAGGCTTGCAAGGGTTTAGGATTCAAGTGTAATAGAGAAATCTCATAACAATGACTTTAATATCTAGTTTACTTTCAGGCAACACTTGAAAACATAGCTAATTAAAAAGAAGGTGCTCTTCTTGAACAATGCCTTGGCACACTATTTCCCTGAATTGTGTACTTTTTAAGATGGACTAATTGTAGTATTGTTTGACATTTAACTAAGAGATATGAGCAAACTCCTGCAAATTTTCCTTTCCCAGCAAATCCTGAGCAATTATTATTAACTAATTATCAAATATTTACTTTTGCCTGACTAGGCTTTCAATCAAAGTAATTAAAAAAAGAGAGCATCCTCCACTTGCAGTGGTATATTGTTTTAATATACAAGTGGTGTCTTGGAGTGGAGAATGTAAATCACATTTTATGATGGAAATTAATCTCTTTGCAATAAATTTTGAGGAGGATGTCTAATTTAATAAGCAATGGATTCCTTCTTCAGTGATCTGACACAGAAGCAAACACATCCAAAAAAGAAAACATGTGCCAGTCTTAAGCAGTGAATCTTTAGTGAGATCCAGCCTGGTCTAACCCTTGTAAGCTGTAGGTAAGAAGGTGGGGAGTAACATTAACCTCCTCTTTCTGTCTGAAGCCATTATTTATAAATGTGAAATGACTGCTCCATATTTCTGCATCACTTTGGAGCTGTGGCAGAAGTGGTAAAATAACAGATATTAAACTGAAGCTTATAGGACTAAATGAAAAGGAGTGTGTTATAGGGGTGATATTGCAACATTACTGGTAATCGTCTTCCTTTAAAAACAGAGCAGAAATAGGGAGGGCTGTTGTTGAAGAAATTGTCTGAGAAGCAGGGCTGCCTGTGTAGGTATAGACATAATAGCCCTCCTGGAGTCACCAAGGCCATTAACCTCCTCTGTGACTTACCAGACCTGTTAATGCCAATGTCCACCTCCTTCCAATGCTAGTGTCTGCTAAATTAATTCATTAACCTTATTTAGAACTAATGGTCCAAAGTCATCAGAAACTGCTCTTCTTAATTAAGTGTTGAAGAGATTGTACAGAGCCAGGGAGTCTAGCAGTCCGCATTATCTTATTATACAGTCACTTTCCCAGAAGTCACAGATTAAAGAGTACTGGTGGTAGTGAGTCCAGCCTCAATGTCTTCTGAAGTGACTCTGTCAAGTGACTAGAAGCAGCACTGTTTTATTTCACTCACTGAACAGACGCCAGATTCTGCCATGTTGTTTGCACAGAGCTGTAGTGGACTTAATAAGACAGGATCACTTCCCAAGTCTGCTACACACTGGAAATAATGCTAGGTTCCTTTGGAACCACAGAAAGGCAGTTCACAGTGATCACTAGCTGCATATTTTGAGCTTTTTGGTTTGCAACACCTTTTGTTATTGGCAAAAATAAACAATTTGTTTTAGAATGTAAAAATGGAAACAAATAAAACAAGCTAGCACCAACCCAATCAACATGGTTAGAAATATCTTGTCTTTGAACAAACAATATCATATATGTCATCTCCTTCCTTTCTAATTTATGGCAAATGATTTCTATAATGCTTGTAGCTTTATGCATTTTTTATATGCACTTCATCTTTCATTTCCATTTGACCTGGTTTTCCTGTAATAAAATTCTGTACATTTATAAATTCATGCTGAGAGCTAAGAATGCCATTTTCCTTCCACAGGGAATCTATGAGATACAGTATTACAAGCTGTATATACCATTATTGAGAAATATTGATATATAGATTTATATTAGTACACATATGCTTTCCTTCTGTAGTTTATTCTCATATTTTATTACTGAAAAATTACATATCAGTATGTGGGGGAAAGTTTCTTTAGTGAAAGATCTATAGTAAGAAATCCACAATAATAAAAAATGACAATGCAAACCGACACTGAATAATAAAACAAAAGACCTTGCAAGCTGGATTACTTAACTCTCTGTTCTATTAATATACCTTAAAGTGGGTAATCCTAATATTTTGTTTGCTAAAGGAGCAAGATGCAGTCACCATATTTCATATTTGCACTTCATGATTCTGGTAACTTTGCCAACTATTTTGCAATTAGAAATAAACCTAGGTGTTGGAGAGATTTGGAGGGGGGGATAAAAGGGAGCTGTTTCTGATCCATTTCTTTGATCTGTCCTCCAAGCATGAACAAACTTCCTTAAAGGAGTAATACTGAATCATTTCTGCTTCACTAAACACACTTTGTTCTCTGTTAGCCTGGATCTAAGGAGCATAGATAACTTCAAATTGTTTAGATTTATGGACTGATAAAACAAAAGGTTTTGCTGTAAGCAAGCTGGGTTCTGTGAAGACAACTCCCCAATGGCCAATGACATAGACCAGGCTTATCATCAGAATAGCTGTGCAGGGGGTCAGACAGCATCTTTTTAGTCACTTTCCACTTAAAACTTGTTCCTTAATACGATTACACTTCTCTGGGATAAATCTAAATGAAATTCCTTGGAGCCAGTGTTATCAATTGTGAAGCTTCAGTGTTTGAATGCTGTGCGGGTTTTATTTGTGAAGGTAATTTGTGAAGTTTTGAAACTTGGCCTCTCAAAATTGAGCCATCATTTGCACAGATTAACCTTTGAAGCAGCAACTCATGTACATCTGAATTTTTATCTGTAAGTAATTGATTTAAACATGTAAATGCAAGTAAAAGTTTGCTAAATAAAAATGTAGAAAACACAACATTTAAATCACATTGACTCACTCAGATGTACTCGAATATGTGTGATTGGAGAGAAAACTAAACAGGAAATTTTTCTTTTCATTGCAGATAAATGTGGTGATACTATAAAGATTGAAAATCCTGGATACCTTACTTCTCCTGGCTATCCTAATTCCTATCATCCAAGCCAAAAATGTGAATGGCTGATTCAGGCTCCTGAACCATACCAGAGAATTATGATCAACTTCAACCCTCACTTTGATTTGGAGGACAGAGACTGCAAGTAAGTGAGACTGTCAGTAAAGGGCACCAGAGCACCATCTAGTGGATAAAATTTTTCATATAGTTTTGATGTCTACATGAGAAAAATAGATGTGTCCAAGATAGTGGGTAAAATGAGTCCATCAGGGATTTGAATACAGACCAGATAATATGTTAGGGAGTGACAACGATGCTAAAGTTAGGTTTTGTGCTTCCTGGACCTCAAAAAAACATCAAGATTATCTTTGATTTAATCTTGTAATCCTCTTGTCTGCTTTTCCTGGATACAGAGGCACAGTAACTGTTTTTTTCCTGTTAAAACTCTTTCCTCAGTGTTTGCAGTCATTTAGTGGTGGAGATATGTATGTGAGCCAGTGGATGGAGTTTTGGTTTATACTTTTCTGAAACAATCAACTGAAAATTCTTTGAGGACCATATATAGTAAAAGTCGATTAGTAGTAGCATTTTTAGGAGAGGTATGCTATAATTTTCTGTTTAAAATTACATTTGAATTATTTCTATGTGATGAGAGAAGCCATAGCTTAGTGTGGCTTTATAGTACATTTTATGTCAATGTGACCAGGATGAGGGATTGTACCACAATATGAAACACATTAGCTACGTGTTTTTTATTAAAAAAATAAGTACAGGAAAATAGTTCTTTTCTTCATGTTAGTTAACTGTTCCAAACAAGCTGGTCAGAGTTATACATTTTCTCAAAACACTGTCATGTCTTAACAATATAGTCTAGAAGAGACTAAGCATTTACTCTCATCCATTGGGAAAGTGCAGTGCATTTCAGTCAGGTAACTGAAATTTCTCTCTCTGGATTTTTTCCTACTGGTTTTTTATCAGATTGCTTCCCCCACTTCATTCCTTATTCCTTATACAAAAATTGGATCCAAGAGCGAAGGCAGGGCAGAGTCAATGCTGTCTACATTTCTCCCTCTTGCTTACCCACTCTCCATTCTGTAGGCAAGAGTAGCCCAAGCTACTTTCCACCTTCTCCCATCTTCATGAATGAAAAGCAGGTAGCTTGCACATGGTGATCCATGGTCTGATTGTGCCCCATTTCATTAGTCAGTCCAAAAATTTGAGCCACTTCTTTCATGAAGAACACCTTTTAATTATTATTTATACAGTTCCAAAAATGTGCATGTCCTTTTACGGATTTTTAAAAAAATGACAGTTCTCACTCAGGCTACGTCTAGACTGCAAAGTTTTTGCGCAAAAAACACCTATAGAAAAAGGCACTGGTGCCCTGGTGGCCATTCTGTGAATAGCTATCAGTGCTTTCTTTCGAGAGAGCATCCATGCAGTCTGGACGCTCTCTTGCGCAAAAGCACATCACTTTTTTGATGTGCTTGTTCAGTCTGGATGTTCTCCTGTGCAATAAGTTTTTGCAGAAGATCTCTTCCACAAAAAGCTCCTTGCTCAAGACATGTGTAGTGCAGATGTAGCCTCACAGATGCTATTCCTGCAAGTTTTTGAGTGCCCTAAGAAAATGAATTTGAAATTAATAAGAGTTGAACAGAACTTTCAGGACATCCACAGGATCAGGTCCTGAATTTAGCAATATCTGAGGAGAGGTGGCGACCTGCAATGGAGAGAAGAAGGTTATGATTAATGAAAAAGTCAGTGGTTGCTTATATTGAAGTGCTTAACTTTTGTCTTGCACATCTTCTTGGTTCCAATTTTTGAAATAACAAATTGAGTTAGCTACTTCATGAATATTAATTTTGCTTAGACTTAATATATTTAGTAACCAAGTGCAGTAGTTTGGTTTACAGTTCATCAATTTTCAGTGTTTTGCATAATCCAGTATAGGCCAATGTTTCATCTAATGTGTGGGCAATAACAAAAGAAGGATCCTTATTTGTAAAACTAAACTGTTTGTTTATTAAAGCAACATGAATGTGGTTATTACTGCAGGCATCACTCTTCAGGAGTTTTTAATCAGTTATATATGTGCAGTTGTCTACTTGGCTATATTTTGTTCTGTTTCCCTTCGGTATACAGGCTTGTTGCTAATCTATAGAGGTGTTTACATCAGGATATCATTTTTTTCTCCAGTTTAGGTAAATATCTGAGAAGGAAATAGAACATTTTGTAAGGTAAAACCCTTTATGTTCCTTGACAGCAGAGCCATCTCATCCATTGGACAGTTTGGGGTGGCCGCCCCGAGCCCTGCACTTTGGGGCCCCCCACGATGGCCACCTCAACTGTCATATGGACAGGATGGTCCCTCAAATTAGTTGTGGGGTACAGGGCATCCTGGTGGATTACGTGGAAGGAGGGGGAGGGGAGCTAGGCATGCCTTGGCTCCCCTGTGGTGGGAGCTGGAGCTACTCAGTAGCCTGCTCCACTCTACCGCCTTCACCCAGCCCACTGTGCTCTGCTTCACTGCAGTGATGCAGAGCTGGGGGGAGGAAGTCAGGGGGGAGGTCAGGGGGAGGGTGCTCCACTTCCTGTTGCTGTGGTGAGTACACAGTGGGCTGGGAGAGTAGAGCAAGCTGACGGGTAGCTCTGGTTCCCACCACTGTGGGGACTCCTGTTGCACCCCTCAGCAGGCCCCAAT